GAAGACTCACGGTTTAATATTTTTTCTGACTCTGAGATATTGAAGATTTCCTTTGGAGGAGATCGTCTGATCACAATAAGTCCATTAGGCAGATGGACGGGCCTTCTCAGATTAGTCGCGGGACGCTGCGTTCGTACGGGAGGCAATCGGGTCTCGAGAGTCGCTGGGAAGCTCGTCTTGGGTCGCCTGTTCGCGAGCGAGATTGTCTCCAGGTCTGCTCGGCTTTGGGTCACTGCAAGCATCGTTTCTGAGCGCGAGAAGCTCACAGGTCGTACAACATTGCATGGAATAGCAGGTCGCGTCGAATCTCCCGTTATGGGTCGCATCTAGTGTCAGCGGGTGCAGCGAGACGGTGTCGAGTGATTGTTGCAATGGAGCAGGTCGTCGCGAGGCGTCTATGGTGAACTTGGGTCGTCTCGCGCGGTTGTCTCAGTGGTACTCAACGGCCGACGGTGGTCGAGTGCTCAAGTTGGCTCGAGTGCTCGACTACCCAAGGCCTTCCAGTGAATTACCTAACGCCACTAGAACGCCCTTAGTTGGAAAGAGAATATAGATTTCTTTATATGATGTATGTCTTGGAAGACTAGAGAATATGTGTACTTATATGCTTCAATATGGACGCTAAGGATGCATTAAATTAGGCTTCTCTTTTTATGACTAAATTGTGGGTCAAGCCTACCAAACCCTAATAGGAATAATACAATCATTCTACTAAAGTAGTATTATTGAATACTAAATATAATTCCCAAAATACGATTTGAGCTCGACTCCTAAAATACTCGAATTACCTCCACATGTTTAAAATATAACGTCCGTCAATTTATTTAGTTACTGATAATTAAATTAATCGACTTCTTGAACCGAAGCTAGCACTGTTCAATATATTATTATTATGTCGAAATTTAACCCACCTGCAGGGTTTAACATAATAATCCTTATGAACTCAATTTATTTAATTATTGATAATTAAATTATTCGACTTCTTGAACCGAAGCTAGCACCGCTCAATACATTATTATTATGTCAAAATTTTCTCATACAATGTTTAACATAATAATCTTTCTGAGCTCACTATAGGGACATCATCAAACCTAAACTATGTAAGGTACACGGTGACCGTAAATATTATAACAGAACACTATGTCATGTAGAAATCCTTACCCAATCTGGGAATTTATTGGGCCATATGAATAAACATCACCTTGTTGAATCAAAACAGTAATTACCACATACATGTGTTTGTTTATATCTTACGGGTTAAGAGAACGCGGTAATTAGCTGAGACCTAGTTTGTTTACGACGATCGGTATAAAACGAACTGCTCTTCTTCCACATCCAATCAATACACAAATGTGTACTAGTGTGACTAATCAATCAAGACAGAGTGTACCGCTCTCACTACAACTGTTCCAATGGAGGTCCGAGACAGTACCTCTTCCAGAAGCAGCAGGTCGCTTTGCAGAGATCCAATCCAAGAGGTGATTCTGGCTGTTACACGGGTTCCCTCCGGGGGTGTAGCACTGCTTCAACGCAAGCTCGGACCCGTACTAAAAAGAGAAAGAATTTCTTATATACACTATTCTATCTTTTCCCATCTCTTTCTTCCTCTGCTACTTCCTGGGAGCTCTTTGACTTCACTTCGCCAATACTTCTGACTTTCCATCTAGGTTGTGAATCAATTGTTTATGTTTCACAAGTAACCGATAAATGATAGTTTGTCTATCCGTGATAAACCATTTATCTAAATTTCAAAGCAATAGAACATATATCCTTATTTAATCAAACATGAATTCTCATTCAACATAAAGAGTGTGAATCAATATATATAATTATTTATTTTTCATATGTAAATACGAGTATATATATACATATATATATATATATATATATATATATATATGAAATATTTAGATTGGATAAAATTAAGAAAATTGAGTTATAGTCTGAAATATTAATAAAAAATAGAGTATTATATTAATTAAAAAGTAAGTGAAAAACTGTGAGACCCATAGTAATAAAGTTTATGGGGTTTATTGTTATTTGAGTTATGTGAGGGTGAAAGTAAGAGGGGAAATTTCATTGTAGGGCTTGTTTTTTTGGTATTGTATCATAATAATGTCAAATTTTTAACTTTTTCAATTGAGGGTTTCAATTTTAAGTTATTCTTAATATCATGCCTACTTTTACATTATACTTTTCAATTTAAACTCCAAATAACTTTGTATTTTGACATAGTTATGTATACCACAATACTTTTTTTAAAAAAAAATATATACATATATATATGTATATATATATATATATATATATATATTTGAGTATTTATAATTAAACATATTTTTTTTTCGTAAAATTACCTAATAAGTTAATTAATTCATAATTTACATTTATGAAAAATATTAATGAAATTTATTTTAGAAGTAAGAAAATAAATTGTAACTTAATTTTAATCTAAATATGTGATAACATTAAAAAATAAACTATTTAGAAAATCAATTTATTTTTTTAAATAAATTATAGAAAATATTAGTTGTGAATAATAATTTATATTATTGAGAAAAAGTTAAAAGTATATAAAATTAATACATATAATAAAAGTATTAATTATATTTTTGAAACTAGCTCCTTAAGAAAAATTGATTCAAAATAAGTTACATTTATGCAAAATTAATTTTAACTTAAATGAATTAATTTCTTACTTAAGTAATTTAATAAAGATATTTATAATTATTTAAAAATATAAAGTTAGTTGGTGTCTTACATTGAAAACTATAATGTAAAAGTAGGCCCTGTTCAGACTGAAAATTACTTAAAATTAAAACCCTCTAATAGTGTTTAGTATTGAGTCGTGTGTTGGGTGATTATTACCCTGTTAGGGTCGTCTTTAGGCGGGCTTCGTCCTGTCCTCTCATTTTTATTCGGCTGGTGGCTGTGTTCGTCATTTGTTGTTTGTATTTGCACATTTGTGCCCTTATTTATAATATTTCGTTCCGGAAAAAAAAAAAAAAAAAAAAAAAGGTTGTAAATTCAAACTCCATTATGACACAATAACCAAACGTCAAACCCTGGTGTTTTGGATGACGTGAAGTGTGAAGGAAGGTTTATATAACTTAATTATTAAAGATGTTCTAACTCATTTATTCTATGTGGATTCATTTATGCTTCATTAAAATATATGATTCAAATTCTCAAAGAAAAAGCAAACCTCCAAAAAAAAAGTTCAGAATGAGAATCATGAACATTGAATGTGGGAGTATGGTTTTAATTTTTTTTTTTCTTAATAGAACTAATTACTTAATTATAATAATTAATTGATCACATCTTACTAATGCAAGTTAATCGAGTAGTCAACAGTCAACACTCCGTATGTGGTGAGGAAAATTGGATAGGCTTAACACACACACACACACACACACATAAAACTCCAAACACAAACTTCTCGTACCCTAAATTCTCAAATTCTCTCCAGTCGTCGTCCATCTTCCTTGTGTGTCTTCCCCGACAGGCAGTTGGGCCCTTTGTTGATGAATGACCCTTAGTCGCACAACCTTTGCCCTAATTTCGTGTTGTCATTATCAACTTGCGCCGATGGAGGTTGACAATCGCCTGACAGTCGGGTGTCGCCGTTTTCAACTGCCGATGGAGGGGGAGGTTTGATTGCCTTCTTGGTCTCGAGGTGGTGCCGGGTGGTGGTGCAGGGTTGGGGCTTGGTTGTGGCCCTAGTCGCTCGCGATGTATGTGGCGGGGTGGACGGGCCTGAGGAGTGGCGACTTTTGGCCCCTGTTCCTGTGTTCCCAGGTGTGGGGTGGATGAGGCAGACCTTGGCCAGTGGTGTTGGTCGGGTTCAGGGCGGTGGTGGTGTGGGGGAGTGGGTTAGGTTCTTCTTCCTGGAGTGGTTCGATGTTTATGGTTTCGGCTTCATTTAGGCGTTTTGACAGTTTCAAGAGCAGATTCTTAGATTTTGGTTTAGTCTTTTGGGTGGTCGACTTGGGTTCTGCTGGTACATCATGCTGGGCTTGGTTTGTCTGCAAGGGGAAGGACTTTTGTGTTGTTTTCGTTTAGTTTAGCTTTGTTTGTTTTGTGTGTCTGGTGTTGTTTGTGTTTGTTGTTGTGTTATGAGTTGTGTTTTCTCCCGAATGGAAGCGTGTTATTGTCCTGTTGGAAGTGGTGTAGTTAGTTGTGTTGTGGGTGAGTTAGTGTAGTTGCTTCTAGGCTACTTCGATGTAACTATTCTAGCTATGTTCTAAATGTAATTATGTGGCTTTTGGTTTTATATATATTCTAACGTTCTTGAGAAAAAAAAAATGATGGATATTGGATACTCCCTCCGTTTTCTATTAATTGTCGTTGGAGGGTATGATTCTTTTTCTTATTAATTGTCATTTAGTAGAGATGGGGTTTAGGAGATGAAAATTTACACGCAAAATTCTTTATTGATAACTACAAAATTGAGGAGGAGAGAGAAGATACTACTAATATTTAGGAGAGTTAAAAGATGTAGAATGACAAATTAACTACTTCCTTCAAACAGGTAATTTTATTTTTTTCAACTACAACGACAAGTAATTTAAAACAGAGGGAGTGAGATATCCAACTCTAAAATTAGTAAATTACTCCTCATTCTCATTAATTTAAGCCTGAAATTCTATGGCACCACATGTGGCACCATATTATGGTGCCACAACATGATGTGGCACATTATGATTGGTGCCATAACTATCACACATCATGTTGTGGCACTAATCATAATATATCACATCATGTTGTAACACCGTAATATGGTGTCACATATGGTGCTATAGAATTTATAGAAATAAGCAGTGACAATATGTAACAAATAACCTTAATATTTAAAAACAAAAAAAAAAATAAAACTTTTACCAGCGTCGGCACAATTTATTGCATCTGTTTTAATCGCTCTATCATATGACATCACACCACCACCAAACCACGAGAAAAATCCCCCTTTACAGAGTTTTCACTCTCACACCACCCCATCCATGGCGGACAAACCACCCAACCACAAAATCAAGAACAAAAAGCAAAAGCACCAGCACCCAAACAATCAGACGCCCAAAATCTCTCCCGATCTCTCCTTTAAGCCATCCTCCGACGTCAAGGGCCTCCGATTTGGGGGCCAATTCGTCGTCAAATCCTTCACGATCCGTCGCGCGCCGCATCCGGAGCTCCTCCGCCTCCTCTCCCTTCCGCCGGCGCCGCTTCCGGCCTTCTCCTCCGCCGCCGCGTTTCTCCCGACTAATTTCACGATCCTCGCGCACCACGCGTGGCACACGCTCACGCTGGGCCTGGGCACGCGGAAGTCGAAGGTGGTGCTGTTCGTGTTCGGGTCGGAGGGGCTGAGGGCGGCGGTGGAGCGGACGTGGCCGGCGGAGATGCCGCTCGGAGAGGTGAACCGGAAGCTGATCCGTGGGATGGTCGGTTGCGAGATGGCGCGATTCAAGTTCCGGAAGGGGTGTATCACGTTCTACGTGTACGCCGTCAGGAGGCGCGGCGAATCCGGGTTCGGGTGCGCCGAAGATCTGAGGGCGATTTTGGAGGCGGTGGCGGCGCTGAAGGATTTCCTCGACCACACGGCGATGCTCGCGATGCCTAACCAGAGGAGTATAAACTACGCGCCGCCGGTGGCAGTAGCTCATTAAAACTAGGTGTCTTCGGTTTTTCTATTTTTCTTTTCCTTTTAATTAAGATTTGACCTGCAATATATTTTTGCTTTTTTTTTTCTATTTGTGTTTTTACTTTTTATTTTTGTTATTTTTTTAATTATTTTTTTATTTATTTGTAAAAAAAAATAAATATGATTTTTCCGTTAGTGTAAATGTTACGGAATTGGATGCAGCCAAATCGGGAACTATTTATTGGGATTTATTATTTGAATGTTGCTACTCAGCATTTTTTTTCATTATTTTAGTTGATTTGTTGTTGTTGACTTGTTGGGCTGGTCAAATAATAACTTGGGAAAACGCTACAGTTCCGTTATGGTACCATCTCGTCTGGTGTTTTAACCGTTGGACCCATATATAATTAGATAAGATAGATGATCTAACGGTTAAAACACCCGACGAGATGGTACCGTAATGGAATCGTACCATTTTCCAATAGCTTGTCCAATGTTAGAGTGCCTAATTAAGAATTTGTGATAATGTATTTCTATCCGGTAAGAAAACTCGAGAGAGAAGAAAATGTGGATTTGTTAGAGCACCCACATGCTTTTGGTATCTGTTTGCGCATGTGACAAATAAATAGATTTAAGTCCATAATGACATGGACAAACTCAAGATGAAAAATCTAAAATCTATCCAATGCAAGACAAAAAAGTACTAGGTCTAGAATACTAAACAACCAATAAAAAATAGTAATAATAAATGCATACAAAAAATGTGTTTTGCCTATTAAAAAGAAAAAAAGAAAATTGTGAACAATTAATGATTAGGCGGGTTTGCACTTGGGTCCAAAATAGACTCAAGTGTGGACTTGGTCTCTTTTTTCTAGTGCCACATAAATTAGAATAGGTCAACTTTTAATTGCATTGTGAAACATTTTTTTGTAGACTAAGTCTATTTCCTACATGACATGTGATTTTTTCTAAGAGACCCAAAGCATTGTGGGTACTCTTAGGTGTGTTGTATTTTATACTTCAAATATAATTCAATCTTAACTTAACTCCACTATGTTCACTATTATCAATATAATTAAATAATATCAGCCGATCATTTTTACACGTCACATCAACTTTTATTCACTATTCATCCATTGACATAAGTTTAACTAACTATCACTTCATATCATCTTTCTCATACTTTTATATTAAATCAATTTGAATTATTTTATTTAAATATTATTTTAAAATAACATCATAATCACACTACCAACTAATTATACCATTGTTTTCAAATTAACTCTGGTTAACCAAAAAAAATCGTTTTGATCTGATATATTTATATGCAAACACGCTCTAAAGTGATTGATAAGGAATTAATCTAAAGTGATTGGTAAGGAATTAAAACGAATCAAAACCAATTTTGATTGGATATTTTTGTTATTCTGACTTTCACACAAAATTTAACTCAACCCTATTGTCTTCAATATTATAAACACAATTGAATAACATCAATTATTTATGTTCTACATCACATAAGTTTTAATTAACTATTCATTTACTCACATATTTTTAACTATTATCACTTCAACCATCTTTGTGATACTTTTGAATCTCATCAACTTTAATGAAATATTATTTTATTATAATCTCTCATATCCCATTCAATCAACTTTATTAAAAATAAATCACTTTCACTTATGATTCAATTTCTATTATGGCCGATCGTATATTTTTTTTTCACTCAAATTTTTATTCAAACTTAACTCAACCATATTTTCTTCATTGTTATAAATATAATTAAATAATATCAATCAATCATTTGTACACATCACATTACCTTCAATTATTTGTACACTCATAATTTTAACTATTTATCACTTTCAATTATATTTCTCATATTTTTATATCTCATCAATTTTAATTATTATAATTTATATATTATTTAAAGACAAAATTAATTTCCCAGTTAACCCGAACTCAATCAACTTTTTTAAAATTAACGCACTTTAAAAAATAAATCCAATCAAATTCAAAATGACTAATATCAGTTCCAACTTTTTTTTTTTTTTTTGAAACAAACTAATATCAGTTCAACTAAGGGTTGGCATCAAGAAAAGTATATTGATAGTGTGACTATACTTTGATTTCTTTATTTGACAGTTGCAATGTGGTCGACCATCTTATTAGGATCGGATCCATTATTGGAAGTGGAGCTATCGAGACATATCACATGATCAATAGTAAATATATAGTGTGCATATATTATAATATATATTCTTTTTGGTCAAAATATATTATAAAATATAAGTACTAAGGTGCTAGGTAAAAGACATGGCCATCGTGAGACTAATTTCGTCGCAGATTTTCTTGCATCGTTAGCGGCTCAAGGAATGGGTGGTTTGCACCGTTTTGAGCAGGGGCGGATCTAACTGTGGGCGAGCCTGGGCAATTGCCTAGGCTCAATTTTTTGTGCTAACTATACATATTTAATATGTATTAATAAAAATATTTATATTTAATATTTGTTGAAATACAAATACAAGTTTCTATTTGAAATTTTAAATATTCTTACAAAATAACATTATTGTTCTTATTTAAAATGATACACCTCACTAGTCAGATTTGACGATATTATATTATAAAATTTTCAGTACTTATATCATATAATAAGCTTGATAGATAAATTTATTGTTTTTCAATTATAATTGATAAATATTTAAATTTTTATTGATAGAGATCAGATAGATGTAATTATTTTAATTTGTATATAGAATATGAATGTCAAATTATACATTGTCAAAGTATGATTAATTTACGTTATCATATATAAAAAAATGATAATATATACAAATGTTATTAACTTTTAAAATATATTTACAACTTAAGTTCCCCAAATGTTTAAACTTGAATGTTCTGGATAAAGATCCATATTTATATGGACTATTTTGATTCCCTAGAAATTAACATATAGAATTACAAAGTGTTGGGAATTAACATAAAAAACTACACTTATATATAAGAAAATAATTCATAAGGAAATCTTTATAAAATAACAAGAATAAAAATGATGACATTTAAGATTTTCTTAAACTAATAAATTATATTTCAAAGTAACTTGCTTATTTCTTTTTACAAAATAATGAAACATTGCAAAATATTTTTGTTATATTTATTAACAATAATAAAAACGCAAAATAAATAACCAGACTACGTTATCAACTTATTTTTTGGTATCAAGACAAAGCAGTAATTTATAAATTTATTAATAAAAAAAAATAAGAAGACAAAAAACAAAAAAAAGGGGGCCAGTGGACCAACATAAAAAGCACGTATTTACTAAATACATTTTCTGTATAATTTAACTAAAAAACGTATTCACTAAATACATTTTTTACATTTTTTTTACAAAGGAAAACGTATTCACGGAATACGTTTTACAATTAAAATGGGCAGAAAACGTATTTATAAAATATGTGCTTTTTCATTTGTTTCCACTCCCCCTTTTCCCTATATTTTTTTGTCTGCAACTTAACTTTTGATTTTTTTTTGGTAAAAAAATCTCAAGACAAAGGCAAATTAAAAAGGGAACCCCTCCACACTCAATTGTTCCAATCATTTATTTAATTGTTAATATAAATACTTTGTGCAATATAGTTAAAAATTTCTTCGAACTATATTTTGCCCAGGCTCATATTCGGATGGGACGAGTTGGTGGTTATCTCACGATAATGCGGGGGTGTCCTACCCCCGTAGTGTTGTGATCAAGCGTTAGTGTTAGCACTTCCTTTTCTGTACCAAAAAAAATAAAGATTTATATTGAATTCTTAAAATAAGATTCGATAGAGATTTTTTATTTATTTTAAATTTCAAATATATTTTTTGTAATATTAATACGACGCGATACCATGATATGTCATCTCTAAATTTAAAACATATAGACAAGGAATAATCCGTATATTAATTTATTTCATTTGCGCCCTAATAATTAGATGGATGGTGTCAAGAAGCCGTAGGTACACACTTGGGACTGATGAATGGATTGGTGGCCTACTCCTCACATGAATTATGTACATCATCACTCTCTTTTCCTTTTTCCTCCAATAACTTTTTTTTTTTTTTTTTTTTTTCAAACGCATAAATTATATTACTAGCTAAAAAATATACAAACGGATAACCAACTGGTCATACAACAGTCCTACCCTACGCTAACTAGAAAGGAAGAGCATAATTGGAGCAACACAACAAGGGGCGGATCTAGCAAATTGAATGAGGTGGGGCTAAAATTTTTTGTCAACTGAAAAAACGAAAAAAAAAAAAAAAAATGGCACAACATGAGACATACAAATCCCTCCTATATATAATTTCAGAATGCGTTGAATCTACGTGGCTGCTTCTGCTTTATAATCCTACTTGGCGAAGAATCATGCTTCGTAATTAAGTTTGGACAAATAATATTGATATATTAATAATTAATAATTTAGGTTCGAACATTCCATAAATATTATTTAGCTAACTTAGGTATTTTAATATCACTTGTACTAATATAACCTTTTAATTCTTTATAATTTTACATAGTGAGACACTAAATGACTAATATATCACTGACTTTTGATTTGTTTCCTTCAATTAGTTATTGAATTAAAAATGTATTTTAAAAGTTGATAACCTTTGTATTTCTTATTGGTTTTACATATATAATATATCAAATTAATCATCTTTCATGATCTTCGATTTGACATCCATATTGTATATATAAAATAAATAAATTATTATAATATAACACAAGTAAGTCACACAAATAAAAAGTGTCATTCTAAATATATACTAATATATATATTTTTATAAAGTTATTTAAATTTTCACCTATTTTTTCTCATTAATTTTAAACTTTAAGGAAAAAATTATTAATAAGCACCCGTGTAATAAACGGACGTTGTACTAGTTACCATTACATACAAATTTAATTTTTTAAATAATTCAAAATAAAATATTAAAACACCCTACAATTTGTATATTTCAGTATTATTATCCATTCTAATG